GTAAAATATAATATATAATAATTAGTTGACCATGAGAACAAAACTTTGTTTACACCATCTTTGCTATGACAGACCATCAAACTTGAAGTTTGTGGTAATAATTTGTTATAAATTTTTTGTGGTGAAATTCGTGACGTTCTAGATTGTCGACCATGTTGCGTTTTGAAAAATAAAGTTCGCACATTTTTTCAGGCACAATAAATTTTTTATTTGGAAAAATGATGTTGCCAGATTTCGCTTAGCAAAGAAACAGCGGTGGGAACCTTGAAGTAGTAGCATATAAAGCCTAGAATCAGACTTGATGATGACAGTGATGATGATGTTGTTGATGATGATAACGATGTTGATGATGATGACGATGACGATGATGATGACAATGATGTTGATAAATGATAAATTTTAATAGTAGTTTTTTTTCTTCGAACATAGTTTGAAATCGTCAATAAAGCAGCTTTAAACAGAGGCATAACAAAATGATAAATAAAACAAGATAATGAACAACATTTACTCACTGATAAACTTACAGTCATTATACAAACATTTATGTACTAAAAAACCTTTCAAACAATACGTAAAGTGATTTTGATTTACTATTCCTAACTTTTAGAAGGATGTTAAAGATTTTAGGAACAAGTATGTAAAATATAATATATAATAATTAGTTGACCATGAGAACAAAACTTTGTTTACACCATCTTTGCTATGACAGACCATCAAACTTGAAGTTTGTGGTAAGTAATTTGTTATAAATTTTTTGTGGTGAAATTCGTGACGTTCTAGATTGTCGACCATGTTGCGTTTTGAAAAATAAAGTTCGCACATTTTTTCAGGCACAATAAATTTTTTATTTGGAAAAATGATGTTGCCAGATTTCGCTTAGCAAAGAAACAGCGGTGGGAACCTTGAAGTAGTAGCATATAAAGCCTAGAATCAGACTTGATGATGACAGTGATGATGATGTTGTTGATGATGATAACGATGTTGATGATGATGACGATGACGTTGATGATGACAATGATGTTGATAAATGATAAATTTTAATAGTAGTTTTTTTTCTTCGAACATAGTTTGAAATCGTCAATAAAGCAGCTTTAAACAGAGGCATGGATTAATAATGATTTTACAGCAAATATAGTAAATATTCCTGAGTACACTTTTTTCCATACTGATCGAGTAGGACGTGGAGGAGGAGTTGGTGTTTATTTAAGGGATTCACTGAGAGGTAAGCTGGTATTGCAAGATTTTTTATGTCCAGATGGTATGGAGCAGGTTTGTGCTGAAATAGTGTTGAATAATCTAAAAATTTTGGTTTGTGTTATCTACAGAGCTCCTTCGAGCAGATTATCAAGTTTTATTGATCATATAGACAACTTTCTCTCATTTGTGTCTCCTCAGTATGATAATATATGCTTGCTGGGTGATATAAACGTTGATCAAATTACTGACCATTCTTTTCTAGATTGCATTGCGTGCTACGATATGGTATCTCACATCACCCAACCAACTAGGATAACTTTAACCACGGCAACCTCCATAGATGTCATTTGTACAACAAATAACTTAGCTGAATCATTAATTTCAACTAGCTCTGTACCTGTTCCGAATTTGTCAGATCATAATGTAGTCAGATGTGACTTCAACATCACACGGCCTAAGAATTTTCAAAAGACTGTCAAATATAGAGATTTTAAACACTGTTGTAAAGATCAGTTTTTGGTGGATTTGGATAAAATCCCATGGGACGATATATATTACATCACTAACTTAGAGGATAAAGCTACGTTTTTTTCTAATCATATTTTGGATTTGTTTGATGTCCATGCTCCTGTTATTTCATCACGTATTACTAAACCTTATGCTCCATGGCTCACAGGTGGCATAAAATTTTTGATCTCCGAGAGAAATAAAGCCTTTAGAAAATATCAGATTTTAAAAAGTCCAGCTAGTCTCGAATATTACCAGAAATTAAGAAATGATGTCATTTCCGCTATTAGGCGGGAGAAAGCAGCATATCTAAGCTTCAATGAACAACTAAATAGTAACAAGCATCTCTGGAAAGCTGTACATTCATTGAAACTCAAAACTAATGTAGATAGATCTTTACCTACACAGTTGAAGAATGCCGATGAAGTAAACAATTATTTTTCTTCCGTTTTCACGCCTTCGGGCAATTGCAAGGATCTAGTTGATAAATTTAATAGTACCAAAATTAATGAAAGTGCTAGATTTGAATTTAGTTTTGCTACCCCACAAAATGTGCTAGACATTATTCTGTCCCTAAAATCTAATGCAGCAGGTTCGGATGGTATAACAGTCTCAATGCTGAAGCTTTGCTTGCCTCGAGTATTACTACCCCTGACGCATTTATTGAACTGTTGCCTGGAGGCTGGGTATTTCCCTGATGCTTGGAAACTATCTCTTGTCAAACCCTTGCCTAAATGTAAAAATCCAAAATGTCTCTCAGACTTAAGACCTATAACTTTGATTCCTGTTATATCGAAGATATTGGAGAAATTGATTAAACATCAGGTTTATCATTATTTCTCTAATAATGATTTCTTTCCCAAGTGTCAATCTGGTTTCCGCAGTGGTTTTAGTACAACTTCAGCTTTAGCAAGGGTTTTAGATGACATCATTGCTTCGCTTGATAAGGGAGATGCTTCAGCACTTGTATCATTAGATTATTCTAAGGCGTTCGATAAAATAGATCATGAGCTTTTATGTGCTAAATTGAAGTTTTTTGGTTTTTCAGACATACCTCTAATGTTTTTTATAACATATCTTTCAAATCGTAAACAAGTAGTAGAGATAGACAACACTATATCTAGTCCGATTGATATAACATCAGGTGTCCCTCAGGGTTCAGTTTTAGGGCCCTTGTTGTACTTAATTTATACTATAGACTTGGGTAGCTCTGTGAAAAACTCTTCTGTGATGTGCTATGCCGATGATACACAGATATATAAAAGCTTTAATAGTAACACTTTGCATACTTCAATCAATGAGCTTAATGATGATTTGGAGGCAATAGTAGGATACTCAAATGGTAATAATCTTAAGCTCAATAAGGATAAGTGCTCAGTGATGCTTTTTTGTCCTGCTGTCAAACGTAACACTGTATTGAATTCTCTTGATGTAAAAATCGACAAGGAGCGTCTAGCTGTCGTAAATACTACAAAAAATTTAGGGTTGATTATTGATTATACTTTACGGTTTAAGGAGCATGTCTCGTCTATCTTGAAAAAATGTTATGCAACGTTGAAGTGTTTTTATGTCAATCGCTCTATTTTGAATTTTAAAGTTAGAAAAAAGTTATGTGAGGCTATTATATTTCCAAGCTTATTTTACTGTAGCACTGTGTTCTATCATTGTCTTGATTCTATCACAAAAGCAAGACTCCAAAAACTCCAAAATACTTGTTGTCGATTTGTATTTAATCTCAAGAAGTATGATCATGTTTCCTTAAAGAGATTTCAGCTTGGTTGGATGTGTATAGAAAATGCTTGCAAGTACCATCTAGCAGTGTTTACACATAAGATCATATCTTCTAGATCCCCCTTGTATCTTTATGAGAAATTTGTTTTCAGACGAAATAATTCAGACATTGATTTCAGACACAAAAAAAGACTAGAGATCCCTATGTATAAAACAACTTTATTTCGTAGTTCATACACTTACAATGCTATCCTGATTTATAACGAATTAGATGACAATATAAAGGATTGGCCAGTAAACAGATTTCGTAAGCATGTGAAACAGATTTATTTGTCATTATAGTAATTTTGGAAAAGTTAGTTTTTAATTCTTACATTTAATTTTAGTTTACGTAATATATGTGTGTATATATGTATGCTAGGAAGCTATCAAGCTCGTTGTTTTGAAGCGTCTTTTGCTTATCAAAGTTTCTTTTGATTGAGTGTTTCAATTGAGTATTTGGGTAGGTTAAGTAGAGTAGCCAAGAGCTAGACTTCGCCTACGTAGAGGTCACATTATGTGGTAGTGTATATAATGTGCCTAATAAAGACATTTTATTATTATTATTATTATTAAATGATAAATAAAACAAGATAATGAACAACATTTACTCACTGATAAACTTACAGTCATTATACAAACATTTATGTACTAAAAAACCTTTCAAACAATACGTAAAGTGATTTTGATTTACTATTCCTAACTTTTAAAAGGATGTTAAAGATTTTAGGACCAAGTATGTAAAATATAATATATAATAATTAGCTGACCATGAGAACAAAACTTTGTTTACACCATCTTCGCTATGACCGATCGTCAAACTTGAAGTTTGTGGTAAGTAATTTGTTATAAATCTTTTGTGGTGAAATTCGTGACGTTCTAGATCGTCGACCATGTTGCGTTTTGAAGAATAAGGTTCGCACATTTTTTTTCAGGCACTATACATTTTTTATTTGGAAAAACGATGTTGCCAGATTTCGCTTAGCAAAGAAACAGCGGTGGGAACCTTGAAGTAGTAGCATCTAAAACCTAGAATCAGACTTGATGATGACAGTGATGATGATGTTGTTGATGGTGATAACGATGTTGATGATGATGACGATGACGTTGATGATGACAATGATGTTGATAAATGATAAATTTTAATAGTAGTTTTTTCTTCGGACATTGTTTGAAATCGGCAATAGTTCAGCTTTAAACAGAGACATAGCAAAATGATAAATACAACAAGATAATAAACAACATTTACACTCTGATAAACTTAAAGTCATTATACAAACATTTATGTATTAAAAAACAATACCTAAAGTGATTTTGATTTGCTATTCCTACCTTTTGGAAGGATGATAAAGATTTTGGGACCAAGTACGTTTGACAATTTATGATCTACTTTAAATTTAGAAAAGTTGGCGTGTGTATTGTTACTCTGCCTCGGGGCAACTGTGTGTATTTCTCTGATCAGTGTGATTTAAAGCTTGAACATCGAAAACAACTAATGAATGTCAACACATCCTCACACATCCTACCTCCAAATCATAATCCTCAAAGCTACTGGCCCTCCTCAACGCGCACGGATCACTAGCGTCTCTCAACCTCAATTCACTAAGTTCACACCCGCCGTTCACTTTTTGGTGACACCTTCCCTTTCCGATGATCTCAGGTACCCGAAACGACAGTTTCTTCCTGGGTTTCTCCAAAGCCAAGGCTTCTGCACATCTGGGGATGTCCTCGCACGCGGGGGCGTGCGCCCCTTCGGAGACGGCGTCCACCGGGAGGTCGTCCTCGTCGGTGATTTCGATTTTGATCGGGTACGAACCCACGGAATGCTGTTTGTGGAGACCTGCGGGTTGGTTCGAAAGGGTTGGCCATGATGGGAGAGAACCTCGCATTTAGGCTTGCTATTTGTTCAATACTGTTTCTTTTTTTACAATGTATGATCTACACAGGGCGTGGTCAAAAATTGTAGGGTCCAGAGACAAATCTAGTGACATTGGTCATTTAGAGGTCAATTTGAAAACATTAAATGGGACGGTATACTTCAGACTTTACTGACGGAAGCGGTATAAAATATATCACTATGAACGTTGCCTTTAAAGTCAACTTCCAAATCCTATAATGAAGAATCGTTTTTTTAATTCGTATATAGATAGAAAGCATAAAAAACCATGTCTACCTCTAAATGACCTTCTGGTCTGGTCATCTCAGAACATAAAATGTTTCACATAGGTCAGAAAAATACGGTCGACCTTGAAATTCGTCGCCAAGGTCACCGTTACTTTATTTATACTATTATTCTTTACCGTTTTTTTCTTTATTTGAACAGTGATAATACCTTTTTGCATCTCATGCTGATTATCCGCCAGCTCTTAGCGTAAGAGATACGATGCCATTATTGAGTATGTTGCAATAGGAAAAGTTCAATATCAAGGTCATATATTTCTATACTTAGATTTCCCATTTCGAAATTGTATATCGGACTTGTTTATGAACTGCTTACAATCTAAGGTGTCTGTATTATGTACATTTGACTACCGGACAGCAAAATCAGGAGTAGCACCTTCAAAGTATATTTGCGTACTTTATAAACATCAGTTCCGATGAAATGTTAAGACTTTGGCTACTGCTCTCAAAATAAATCACTTTTCAAGCTTCAAGTCTTGACGAATTGTTTTATCTACTTGTCTTTGAACATTTCACGCGGCATTAAGTTGTTAATGGACTGTAACTTCATTTCTAAGGTACACTGTGTTACGGAACGAAAGAAAAATCTATATAACAGAGCTGCCAGACATTAGTTGAAAGACGAAACGTGGGGAAATGAATAATGTTTACATGCATTTTCAACTTGACTAGAGGGTCAATTCATTGGTACTAGATGTAAAAATATGACTAACTTAAATTCTAATGACAGATTTTTATATATTGACACGCCCTCGTACATCGACTTAGGCAACCAGAAATACACCGCAGCGATAGGATTCGTCCGCTATCTAGCAGGCTGATATGAAGGCTCAAGTTCGGCGAGGAAAATGCGGGACCACTCTGGATTCGTCGATTCGAAGATAAATACACACAGAGGATACAGCAGACTCAGTAACAGCGCAGAACGCGATAGTCCAGGCGCCATGGTCATAAATTTGTAATAAATAGTTGCAAGCGTTGTAATATATTTTAAAATTAAACTAGATGCAAATAAAAAATTCATAAGCTAGTACTTATGTCCGAACCTATGTACTTAAGAGAAAAGCTGATCTTTAGGAATAAAGAATACTCCTATTCTATGTACAGCTAGAGCAGTTGAATTCAACCCAGCTTGGATCCCTAGTTTAAGCACATTTGAACAAATAGCAACCTAACTTCTTAGTTCGTATGAACGTAGATACTTTTTCAGACAGTACTTTATCCGATATCCGTACAAACTATCTTTCTCATCCCAACAATGAACCCTTCTAACCTTGCTTCTTCTTCGGCTCGTCCACTCTCGAAGTATTAGCGTAGATATGATTCTTGCTCTGTCCGCCGTGCTTGAAGAAATAGTCTAACGTCACTTGAGTCATGGATTTTGCCATTCCTTTCTTGTGAGCTTCGGAGACTTCAAGATTTCGATGTTTCAAAGCGTCGCTCAAGTTGAGCAGTTTGTGCCTAGCGCGTTGAAGCATGTCGCTGTGCTTCTTCTTGGTGACCGCTTCCACGTCAGGCATCTCGAGACTGGTGTGTCTGGTGCGTTGTTCTTTAGGCTTTTTGCTGCTCATGGTGCTTCACGATGGGTTTTGGTTACATTTTCGCATCAAGGTTCTTCCGAACAGAGATTTTATTGAGGAAAGGTCATTGATGCCAACTGTTTTGTCAACGGAAATACTTATCGCAGCAAGGCAGGAACCTCATTTGTGGAAGAAAGCGATAATCAAAATAGAAAAGCTTCTGCTCTCTCTGATAACTATTGTTTATCGTTAGGAGTAGTCAAAAATAACACCTCACAAAAAAATAAAGGTGGGACGCTCCATGATATTCTTATGTGATAATTCGGAATCAGAAGTCTTGTTAGATGTCTAGAATTTACTAAAATTGTAGTTTGAAAAACCCATACAGCACTAAAATCCACCCCTGGGCCCAAATCTACCCCTAGAAAGGGTGCAAATTGAGTTTTGGATGCTAGATGCTGGATCTTGTTATTCCCTTGTATTTTTCAACGATGAATCGGAATTTGTAGTTGAAAATATCCATGCTCCCCGAAGTTTACCCCTGGGCCCAAAGAATACCCCTAGAAAGTGTGCAAATTGAGTTTTGTATTACAGATGTTGGATCATGTTATTCCCTTGTATTTTTCAACGATGAATCGGAATTCGTAGTTGAAAATATCCATGCTCCCCAAAGTTTACCCCTGGGCCCAAAGAATACCCCTAGGAAGCGTGCCAATTGAGTTTTGGATTCCAGATGTTGGATCATGTTATTCCCTTGTATTTTTCAACGATGAATCGGAATTTGTAATTGAAAATATCCATGCTCCCCGAAGTTTACCCCTGGGCCCAAAAAATGCTCCTAGAAAGTGTGCAAATTGAGTTTTGGATGCTAGATGCTGGATCATGTTATTCCCTTGTATTTTTCAACGATGAATCGGAATTTGTAGTTGAAAATATCCATGCTCCCCAAAGTTTACCCCTGGGCCCAAAGAATACCCCTAGGAAGCGTGCAAATTGAGTTTTGGATTCCAGATGTTGGATCATGTTATTCCCTTGTATTTTTCAACGATGAATCGGAATTTCTAGTTGAAAATATCCATGTTCCCTAAAGTTTACCCCTGGGCCCAAAAAATACTCCTAGAAAGTGTGCACGTTGAGTTTTGGATTCCAGATGTTGGATCATGTTATTCCCTTGTATTTTTCAACGATGAATCGGAATTTGTAGTTGAAAATATCCATGCTCCACAAAGTTTACCCCTGGGCCCAAAGCATACCCCTAGGAAGCGTGCAAATTGAGTTTTGGATGCCAGATGCTGGATCATGTTATTCCCTTGTATTTTTCAGGGATGAATCGGAATTTGTAGTTGAAAATATCCATGCTCCCCAAAGTTTACCCCTGGGCCCAAAGAATACCCCTAGGAAGCGTGCAAATTGAGTTTTGGATTCCAGATGTTGGATCATGTTATTCCCTTGTATTTTTCAACGATGAATCGGAATTTATAGTTGAAAATATCCATGCTCCCCGAAGTTTACCCCTGGGCCCAAAAAATGCTCCGAGAAACTGTGCAAATTGAGTTTTGGATGCTAGATGCTGGATCATGTTATTCCCTTGTATTTTTCAACGATGAATCGGAATTTGTAGTTGAAAATATCCATGCTCCCCAAAGTTTACCCCTGGGCCCAAAGAATACCCCTAGGAAGCGTGCAAATTGAGTTTTGGATTCCAGATGTTGGATCATGTTATTCCCTTGTATTTTCAACGATGAATCGGAATTTGTAGTTGAAAATATCCATGCTCCCCAAAGTTTACCCCTGGGCCCCAAAAATGCTCCTAGAAAGTGTGCAAATTGAGTTTTGGATGCCAGATGCTGGATCATGTTATTCCCTTGTATTTTTCAACGATGAATCGGAATTTGTAGTTAAAAATATCCATGCTCCCCAAAGTTTACCCCTGGGCCCAAAGAATACCCCTAGGAAGCGTGCAAATTGAGTTTTGGATTCCAGATGTTGGATCATGTTATTCCCTTGTATTTTTCAACGATGAATCGGAATTTATAGTTGAAAATATCCATGCTCCCCGAAGTTTACCCCTGGGCCCAAAAAATGCTCCGAGAAACTGTGCAAATTGAGTTTTGGATGCTAGATGCTGGATCATGTTATTCCCTTGTATTTTTCAACGATGAATCGGAATTTGTAGTTGAAAATATCCATGCTCCCCAAAGTTTACCCCTGGGCCCAAAGAATACCCCTAGGAAGCGTGCAAATTGAGTTTTGGATTCCAGATGTTGGATCATGTTATTCCCTTGTATTTTTCAACGATGAATCGGAATTTGTAGTTGAAAATATCCATGCTCCCCAAAGTTTACCCCTGAGCCCAGAAAATACTCCTAGAAAGTGTGCAAATTGAGTTTTGGATGCCAGATGCTGGATCATGTTATTCCCTTGTATTTTTCAGGGATGAATCGGAATTTGTAGTTGAAAATATCCATGCTCCCCAAAGTTTACCCCTGGGCCCAAAGAATGCTCCTAGAAAGTGTGCAAATTGAGTTCTGGATGCCAGATGCTGGATCTTGTTATTCCCTTGTATTTTTCAACGATGAATCGGAATTTGTAGTTGAAAATATCTATGCTTCCCAAAGTTTACCCCTGGGCCCAAAGAATAGCCCTAGGAAGCGTGCAAATTGAGTTTTGGATGCCAGATGCTGGATCATGTTATTCCCCTGTATTTTTCAACGATGAATCGGAATTTGTGGTTGAATACATCCATACGCCCCCTGAACTTTACCCCTAGGGGAACCAAAACTACCCCTAGGAGGCGTGAACATTGAGTTTTTGGATGCCATATGCTGGAGCATGGTATATCCATGTATTTTTCAATGTTGAGTCGGAATTTATGATTAAAAATATCCATACTCCCATAAAAGTCACCCCTGGGCCCAAAAACGACCCCTAGGAGGCGTGAAAATTGAGTTTCGGATGTCAGATGCTGGAGCATGGCATTCCTATGTATTTTTCAGCATTGAATCGGAATTTACGGTTAAAAATATCCATACTCCGCTAAAAGTCACCCCTGGGCCCAAGAAGGAGAAGTGAAAATTGAGTTCTGGATGCCAGATGCAAGAGCATGGTATTTCCATGTATTTTTCGATGCTGAATCCAAATTTATGGTTGAATAGATCCCACCCTAGAGTTCAGCACCGTACCCAAAAACCACCCCTTTAACACTGCCCTTATTATCCGGTTTTCGCATTTATCGCACTTTTAGTGACAGACAGATGGCATCAATAGCTTCTCCAACTTGAAACAAAAGCTCTTTGATTGTTATAATTTATGATTATGCATATTTAAACTTTATTAAATTTACATATCCGAAATCTAGACAGAATTCAGGCAGTTACAGGCAAAATGTTTCAAAAGGAGAGCTTTAAGAAAACACATAAATAGAAACATTGCTCTGGTATCAAATTTTTTCGTAAGAGCATTTATGACTGCTAAATTACCGAAAAAAAATCCATTAACATTCCAGATAATATTAGACGCACTCAAACAAGATCATGTTTATAAAACATTGATGTTACTATCTCTACCAGATAGGCAGATCATTCATTTTATTTTGATGCAAACACAGAATGTTTCGAGAGTTTAGTCATTATTAACGTATTTTATCTGGAGATTAAAGTAGGCATTAGAAACGTTAAAAAGGTCCAGAACCAAACGCTCTGACTCTATTTGTTTTGTATCTGTTTGGACACCAGAATACAGTAAATGGCTGGTTATTTTCAGCTAAAATATGTCAGTATCGTACTGATGATTCCCAGCAAGGACGAGACGGCGCCGCATACGATTGATTGCAAATCATATGTCTGAAATGGAAACGACGTATCTAATAATAACATAATTTCCTTACCGTCAAATATAATATTTTGAGACTGACAATAACAATTATTTTTAATGTGTTCAGCCTTCCTCGACAATAAATCAGCAAAGTATTTCAGGTTTTTCCGTACAAACTTTCAGAATATCGGCGCCAAATCGTACGTTTCGTTCTGAGACATTTGAAATATTTCGTACTTTGCTCTCCGGCCGCATTCCTTTGCGACACATATGTGACGAGACATTTTTACGATTGATTTATAGATCTTTACCTGAAAATATGTCGTGAACATCACATTTTACGTCATATCTCATATTGAGCTCGGAACAGTTGTATTATAGCTATGAATCCTGTGCCAATGGTATTAAGGTTTCTATAATTCCTTCTTATATCATCAATGAGAAATAAAAGTGGGAAGGTCTTTCTGGAGACACCCTGTAGGATTGACGTTAGGTTTCATCGGTAGTTCACTTCGAACAGCTCACGAACTGCCGTATATTCGCAGAAGCAAGAATATATATATATATATATATATATATATACAGGGTGACTTTGAAGTTGAGTCATTAATTTTCAGATAATGATTGTAGAAGGAAGATAAACCAAAATATGTGTGTAAAAATAAAAAAAAATTAAAAAAAAATGTTTACCTTGTTTTATAAAGTATCCTCCCGACAAGTATTTCAGTGTGGATCTGTATTTGATCGTGAGGTCCCCTGTGAGGTCTTAAGTCACCTGATTCACGAGCCCGTTGTACTACATTAACAAAGGCACGAGGGGTTGGTTGCACTCGATTGGGAAACCGATCCGCATAAACATGTGCCATTTTTTATTTCGTTTGAGCCACGCAACACACTATTCACTGACACTGACTGTATACAAATGAATAAAATAATTGTAAAAACATCGTTCCAAATTCTTTCGCTTGTTTGTTTCTGACGCGATGAACCGATACGGCGGATTATATCAGTTGTCGCCAAACACGAGCACATAATATTATTATTGAGACAGGGCGGTACTCAAACTTCCAAAGGGCTATAACTTTGTTACTTTAATTTTACCAGAAAAATGGTAAAGGAAAAAAACATTTATTTTGATAAGATCTACTCACTATTAAAATAAATGACTCAACTTCGAAGTCACCCTATATATATATATATTGAGACGTGGTTATTGTCGTCCTAGACCAGTTAGGTGAAAAATTAAAGCTTCCGCCTTTTGTTGGGTACTTCGACAAAATTTAAGCAAGGAGGACTCCTTATACTTTCTATATTCTCTCTAGCCTTCAATGGTATTTGCCATCATCATCAGGAGCTGCAATTACAA